GTACGACCCATGCTGCAACATCCGTGAGAGGTACCGGGGCATCCCTGAAGGTCTCTTGCTCTTGGGGCGCGTCAAGGCGGACTACTGCATCAGGGAGAAGGTCAAGATCGACTTCTTCAACCCAAGCGGTGAGCGTCAGGCGGCTTTAGCGAGGGTCTGACAACATCTAGGGGAGGAGGGGAGGATGATGATGAGGATGAGGAGGAGGAGCGGAGAAGGACAGGAGGAGGAATAGTATGAGGGGAGGAGTAGAGTAGGGGAGTCGGAGGTAGATCGAGAGCGATGAGAATGATGAGGAAGGAATGATGAGGAAGATGGAAATCGGATGGACGGCATAGGAAGAGGCGGAGGCGGAGGAGCAGGGGGGCGCACCCCCACTCCTTCTTGGGACCGCAAACTGCGGCCTATCAGGGCTCCAAGTTTTTCCCCGGAAGTTGTGGCCTGCGGCACCGGGTGCCGCTGCCGCTACTAGAAAGAGCCCCCTTCACATGTGTGAGAATAACGCTCCCAGATCGAGTGCCACGAGCTGAACAACAGGCACCACAGGGTGACGATCAACCGGTACATCGTCTCGATACTTACCATGGGGAATGTCCAAGATGCTCGCGGCGGTGCGCTTGCGATTTGCGGCCCACCTTGGCGGCTGATGAGCTATGGGAGTCTTCTCCGAGCAATTTACAAGGCTCATGAGCTTAAGCCCGAGCACGATAATGTCAAGGCCACCATTGCGGCTGGCTTGGTCATTGACGAGTTCAACCCGCGAACCCCAGAAGATGTGATTCTCTTCATCAAATCGTTTTTCAATGGAGTCGGTGGTGGGACGGGTGTTTCCTTCAAGGACAAGCTGGAAATGATCTTGCAGGTCAATGCTCAGTGGGTGGCCCATGCTAACAAAAACGGCATCCAGCTGTCGCGCGCCGGGACGGGCGCCAACTCAGTGGCTGTTAAGCGTCTCGACTGGTGCGAGCGCACCTACCCGGGCGTGTTTCAGGTCAAGGAGGTGTATGAGAAGTCTCTGTCCTTGATGAACTTCCTGAGTGGCGTGAAGTGGACGGACGACGTCATGGAATGTTTGGGGGACTATTGCGACTTCACTTCTCCTAGGTTGGACGGGCACGCCACCGTTTATAACATGAACGACCTTGCCGTCGTGATGAAGGCGCTTGGTGGCGTGGTTGAGATCGATTCTATGAAGCTCTTCTTCTTGGAGGCGGTGAAGCTGCTGCTCCCGAAAGGCCCTGTGATTGAAGGCTCTGACGAAGCTCCGCCTACCCCCTGGGTGATCACCAACCATTCGGAGGCGATGATCAAATGGCTGAGCACAAGCATGGGTGAGAGCGTCACTTACACTAAGAAGCTGAAGCCCAAAGCCAAGCCCAAGGCCAACGCCAGGAGGGCCCCGGCCGTCGAGCGCCCTGAGGAGAAGAAGACATCGGTTGTGCGAGATGGCGACAGCACCCGCGAGAAGACCTGGGCGGACGACGTGCTTTGCCTGTGGGTGAATATCAGGGGCGACTGTCGTGGCGAGCTCTCGACCGAGACTGAGTCCAACTTCTACGCGGAGTGCTTGCAGTTCTGCTGGCAGAAAGAATTCACAGACGCGGGCAAAAAGTACACTGTATGGTCATCACTTCGCGAGCGCCTGAAGAGTCGCATCCTCGCCCTTGGTGACGACGCCCAGGCGTCGGCTGCGAATATCATCGACGGTAGTGACGAGGACATATCGAGACAGCTGGTCGCTTCGATCGATGCTCAGTCGACGGCCCTCCAAGATATCTCCGACATCGCGCCCATGGTTGCGAAGTACTTGGAGTCCAACCCAAGTGGTCGGCCTGTCCGCTTTCACCAATCGTACACCCACATGTTCGATCCGATCTACAATGCGGCTGAGGAGGCAGCCTCTGGACTCTCTGTGGGTAAGCGCGAGGTTCCGCTCACGGACATTTTCAAGATGATCATCGGGCCGTTGAACGTGGTGTTTCCAACGCAGTGGGCTACTACTGCGTGGAAGGTTACTGAGGCTGTCAAGGATGCTGGCCAGATGCCTGACGAGTTCAAGAGCGTGTTTGAGAACGTCGGCGTTTTGCAGAGTTTCGTGCAGGCGAGAACCAAGTACGCGCTGGCAGCTTTCAGTGAGATGTGCTCACGCACTGGCCCCCTCCCAGCGACGACCGAGAAGAGACAGGCCGCTGTTGACGCTGTCGCGCTGTTGGACACGAAGAGGACCGAGCGGCTCGGGATCTTCTTCAAGTTGGACGCGGTGCTGCTCGGCCAGAATGCGGACTCCTACAACGACGATTGGGTCCCCCTCCTCCTCCTCCTCTTCTCCTCCTCCTCCTCCTTCTCCTCCTCCTCCTCCTCTTCCTACCCTACCCCCTCCTCCTCCTCCTCCTCCTCCTCCTCCTCCTCCTCCTCCTCCTCCTCCCTCCTCCTCCTCCTCCTCCTCCCTCCTCATCCTCCTCCTCCTCCTCCTCCTCCTTCTCTCCGCTCCCCGGCCCCCCTTCCGTCCTCCACAGGTTGAGACGTGGGCAGAGCTCCTGGGCAACATCAGCGTCAAGGATACGACTGACCAGCACCTGGACAGGGAGGTGCTCCGAGCCTGCGCCAAGCTGGAGCCACCTCCAGCGACCTCGGGCTCCACTGGGGCTGGTGACGGCGAGGGCGGCGGCAAGACCAGCGAGGATGTTACGATGGGGGGCGCGGAGATGATGTCCCTGGCAGGTATCTACACTTACGTCCAGACGGGCCCGATCGAGCTTGCCATTGATGAGGCTACGATGTGCGTTCTCCCGAAGGAAGCTTTCGCCCTGCCCTTCATCAAGATGGTGTGCCAGTACCTCGAGTGTTGGATGAATACTCATCTCTTCAAAGAAGGCTGCCGCGAGAACAAGGCGGTGGACGGGATCGACAAGTTCGGCGCCTATAACATCGATTTGTTCAACAAAGAAGCTTTCGTCAAGATCAACGGCCTACCTGTGCCTCCACCAGATGATGTTTCCTTGACCTTCGTTGGCCCAGTGAGGCCCAGCCCTGGGCCTAGGTCAGTGAAGCTGGGGTGCATTGTGTTCGGTGATCAGGAGGACGGCTTTCGGGTGGATCTTCACGTGCATGGAGACCAACTCAGCTCCCTCTCAGGAGATCCATGCCCTGTCCCAGCATGGCTTGCAAAAACTGTCAACGACCAGAACTTAGCTAACTTTGAGTTGGCCCAGTCGGTTCATCACGTTGAATTTCCGAACGGCTTGCTGGAGCTGTTGCCGCCGCCGATGCTCGAGGACGAGGGCGCTGCAGAGGAGCACCAGGAGGGCGGCGACGACGATGCAGAGGTGGAGGAGGAGGAGGGGGTTGCCGAGGCTGCCGAGGCTGCCGGGGCTCCTGAGGCGGCGAAGGTTGACGACAGCAAGAAGGGGGGCCAAGTTGTGGTTCAGGCTGACTCGAAGCCCCCAGGGATTCCGATCACTCTGTTCCGTCTGGTTCCGAAGCTCAGCTGCATCGACACACTCAAAGTTGGCGACGACGTGGCCTTCTTCCCCGGCACCGTGGTTCGCAAGGTCACGGCAAAGAAGGGGGCCTCTTCGATCGGTGGCAACTATACCATGGGAGGCACCGGCGCGCAGGGGGCGAAGACTGCGAGTGAGTCTTACAAGCGCTCATCCGAGTGTGGCGACGATGGTCCTGCTGGGAAGAAGGCGAAGAAGACGAAGGCCGCAGACGTGCAACACCTCCTCAAATGACTGTCGTGGCGCGGCGGTCCGCTACGGCTAACTACCTGGTGGCACTCATCGGTCTTGTCGGCTTTACTTGGGACTGGTGGAGGCTTTGTCTGATTGGGTTTGGAGTTCGAAGCTTGAGTTACCATGAATTCATATAACAGTGGTTGATATCAATACAGTGTGACAGTGTGCCTGTTGTGCAGCAACGGCGTCGCGAGTTGGTGGTGGCGAACAATGGCGCAGGGAGGGCCTTGGGCTCGCTCGCCCCTTCAGCTGAGGGCGCAACGCAATGCTTGCCTCGGGCTTTGCCATTGCTGTTTCTCGTGCAATGGCTGTGCATGCATGGGGATCTGGGGATCTGTCCAGACGGTAACAGTTTAACAGGGGGGCTGATCTGAATGAGGATTGTGAGTTGATGAGTTTGCAAGACAGCAATTTCTGAAACAAACACGGTTGAGCCAGGAGTCATTCAAAACGTTCAGAGGAATTCAGTCAGCGCCCCTACGTTTACCGTCGACTGTATTTCAAAACCAAAACACTAACAGTGACACACGTAAGCGGCATTTTGTTTAAGCCAGCGTTCGGTCCACTCGGTCCGTAGGGCTCGCCGATGCTGCATTGTATGTTTATTAACCTTTTCGCTGAGAGACTTGTGAAGATAAAAGTTGCTTCCTTGGAGGGGACGTCCTCTTCTGTGGCCTGCCCTGTTTCTGGACCTCCTGGCCTGTCGCCTGTCTCCGAAGCCTGAGCCTAAGCCCCCTAAGCCCCCAGCCCTGGCCCTGGCCCCTCAGGATCCTGGCCCAACCCTCAAAGGGCTTGAAGGCCCCTGGTCAGCAATTTAGCAGCAGCCCCCTTTCCTGTCCAGATCAAGCTCCTTGTCTTGACAGCCTCGCAGGTCTGGGTCACCTTCAAGATGGGCGACACATTCGACTACCCGCTTTTGCAGTTGACCAAGGGTTCCCCTGCTGGCAGCGGCGGCGGCGACACAGGCGACTGGCAGCTGCCAGGGCCGGCAGCGCCCGCGCCAGCGCAGGCTGCTGACCAAGTGGAGCCGCCGGCGAAGAAGCAGAAGCAGAGCGAGTACGCTTCGCCGCGGGCGCCGACAGAGCCGATGGAGCAGGCCGCCGCGGACGAGGTGGTGAACGCTCTCCGCGCCGGCGCCGAGGATAGGATATGTAACCAACCTCCTACATCCCCACTCTCTCCTCGACTCCTCGCCCCTCCCTTTTTGGGAGGGGCGGGCGGCGGGGGCAGTAACGTAGTAACGTGCGTTCTGAGGAGGCTGAGGCTGAGGAGAAGGAGAAGATCCAGAAGGCCGACAAGAACATCGCGACCGTCATCGTGACCAACGTGTGCTTAGAGACCGCCGACCCGCTGCCGGTGACTGGCGCTGGTGATTGGCAGGGGCCGCCGCGGCTGGAGGACTCACAGGCAGCGGCAGGTCCACCGCCCACAGCTTCGCCAGAGGAGGATCCTGATGCGCCGTCGCCCCTGACAAGGGCCCATGCTGCGAGCTTGAAAGCCCGAGTGAAGATGGCCACGTCGGGCGGCCGATTCGCGAGGCTGAGGCGTGGGGCGGTGGCCGATCCCGAACTCGAGCGTGCCCCCCGAGCGGAGCGTGTGCCTGACGGGATGTACGCCCTGCTCCCAGCCATACCTGCTCATCATAATCTCAAGATGCCTGTCCTCAACAAGATGAAGACCAGGAACCTGGTTGACCTGTACTCCTTCACAGATGACTACCTGGACTCTCTGAAGGCGAACTACGACGTGAGGTGCGGCGAGTTCTCCCCGTTCCGCAGCGCGTGCGGCGGCGGCGGCGGGATCGAGCAGACGCTCTTCGACCGCGTGAACGGGCTCCGCGTGAGCCTCGGCTACGCAGGGATAGACGCGCCGGGAACGGCCTTGACGCTGTTGGCTGGGGCGCTCGAGCAGAGGCTGGGCAGGGAGACGGGGTCTTGCAAGCCGAACATCGTTTACGCAGTGGAGAGTAACGCTGAATGCCGCAAAGAGCTGCTACGATCGCCAAACCCACCAAAGTGCATGTTCGAGAACTACGAGGACATGTTCAAGGCGGCCCCTGCTGCCCACGAGCTCATCAAGAAGGGCAAGATCGTGAGTCTCGAGTCGATGATGGAGGTCATCAAGAGTAAGAAGGGGTTCCAGGTGATGCAGAGTTGCACGATCTGCAAAAACGTCCACCCAGTGCCCAACACGGATATCCACATCGCGGGCTTCTCTTGCGTACCCTACGCCGCCCCCGGCAAACAGGAGAAGACGGAGAGCAAAGAGGTTATCGCATACGCCGGGATGTCGGTGTCGATACTGAGCGCTATGGAGCCCCCGAAGGTCGTGATCCTGGAGAACAGCAGCCAGCTGCCGAAGAGCGTCGTCCAGGACGTCTACGCCCCCGAGTACATCGTCCAATCGATGGTTTTGGATGGGACGATGTTCGGCTGGCCAGGCCGTAGGTCCAGGTTCTACGCTGTCTTGCTCCGCGCGGACCTGAGCCCCGAGCTGACAGCCACCATGCAGTCTGTCATGATGCCGTTGTTCGCCCGTGAGTGCCTGACTACCTTCAAGCACTTCTTCTGCGCGCAGGAGGCGTTTCCCGAGGAGCTGAAGGCGGAGTGGGAGTGGGCGCGCAGCCGCAAGCAGGTGATTGAGCACCGCGGCCCTATTCGCGAGGCCGAGAGGATCAGTCCGCTCTGCTTCCGCAGCACGCTGACGCCCAACGAGCTGCATAATCTGGAGAACTACGAGCAGAGGCGCCCAAGTGTATGGGGCGCTGTATGCACTTGCTAACTGCGGCCACAGCTGACGCGATTGTACGCAACACCAAACATACGTTTATCTTAATCGGGTCAGCCAGTGGCAACAGTGGCAAGTGCCTGATTGCCCTTTCACTTCGGGTTCCCCCAGGTACCAGACTGGCTGCGTCTGCTCGCTGATCCAGATGGTCGCTGCAGGCAGGGGCCACCAGTCTACCACGCAGGTGCTGCGCAGCATCGTGAGGAACCCCAGCCTCCACTTCAACACCGGTATGCCGCATCGTTGGTTGACGCCCTCCGAGCTCTTGCCGGCGCAAGGGTTCCCGATGTGGCCAGCACTCAGCCGCCCGAAGGGAGCCAGCTTCCGCGCATGCTCTTTCGTGCGCGACCCCTGCGAGCAGGAGAAGCCCAAGCGCAAGAGGCTGGACATGATGAAGCAGGCGGGGAACACGATGCAGGTCCCCGTCATTTCAGCGGTGGAGATCTACGCGTTGCTGTTCTGCAACGTCTGGCCGAACGCCCAGCAGGTCGAGGAGGAGAAGCAGGGCGCCAATGCCCGCGCTGTCATGCGCGCCAGTGGCTTCGACGGCGGTGAGCCGTGA